ATAGATAGATAGATAGATAGATAGATAGATAGATAGATAGATAGATAGATAGATAGATAGATAGATAGATAGATAGATAGATAGACACACACACACTAAATAGCACCAAACAGATAATAACACAGTGGAACATTATTATTTTTATAATATTATTTTTAATATTGTATATTAAATATTATACATATACAGGGTATATGTGTGTGTGTTTGTAAGTATATACATAATATTATTTTTTAATATTATATATTAAATTTTTTACTCACACACACACACACACCAAATAGCACCAAATAGACAATAACACAGTGGAACATTATTATTTTTATAATATTATTTTTAATATTGTGTATTAAATGTTAAATAGTGTGAGTGTGTGTGTGTGTGTGTGTGTGTAATTTTTTTAATAATAATGTTCCAAATAATGTTCCAGACGTTATCCAGACATTTTAATATTATTTTATACATCCATGTGTGCGTTTGTGTGTGTGTGTGTGTGTGTGTGTATAATATTGGATATTTCTATATTTCCGTTTGTTTTTTTTAAATTTATTTTTCGTCTGAAAATTTTATGATTTGCTTTCTGCTTCCCCAAATCCTCCGTTAGGTGGACACGCTCCTCCGGCATAAGATCCACAACCCGGGCCTTCCAGCGTTGTCGGCCATTGTCATCTACAACGACACCGTCTTGTGGACCGGGAACTTCGGGAAACGCAACGGCTCCAGCGAGTTCTCGGGTCCGCCCAACGAATATTCCATTTACAGGTGATTTGGGATCCCCTCAACTAGAGGAGGTGGGGGACGGGGGCGAGGACCAGATGCCCGAGGGTCCGTGTTTTTGCACGACACTCGTTCCGGGATTCAGACTCACGACTTTGGGTGAGGACCTTAGGGGTGAGAATGCCCCTCCCTTAGACAACCAAGCTTCTCATCCCCAGATGCTCATTTTTCCCCTCTTCTGTTTTAACGTAGACACACTTCTCCATTGTCCTAGAGCCGTGATGGTGGGCACGCAAGCTCAGCTCCGGCGTGCATACACACACCCGCCAGCTGATTTTCGGGCCTTTTGGACCCACCAGAAGTCAGGAAATAGGCTGTTTTTGGCTTCTGGTGGGCCTTTTGGGGCAGTGTGGAAGGCCGTTTTTGCCCTCCCCAGGCTTCTAGAAAGGGTCTGGAGCCTGGGGAGGGCGAAAAACAGGTCCACCATGCCATCGTGGGCCAAATGTGGGGGTAGGATGGGGGCGGGTCGTGTGCGCATGCACAGGGGGGTGGGTGTTGTGTGCGCAAGCATGGGGGGAGGGCACAGAATTATGGGTGTGGGCACGAGCATGCACGCCCCCCCCCTGTTGCTTTCGGCATGCGATGGCAAAAAAGGTTAGCCGTCCCCTGCCCTAGAGCCCAGGGCTGGCATTCAGCCGGTTCGCATCGGTTCGGCCGAACCGGTTGGCAATTTTACATCTGGTTCGCCAAATTGGTAGTTGCGAGGAGTGGCTGGCCCCTCCCACCCCGCCCCTCCCAGGAGCCTCCACGCGGCCCATTTTGGATGCCAGGTAAGTGTGTGGCCCGCGCGGAGGCTCTGAGAGGATGAAAAACGGGCCTAGCAAACATAACCTATGTCCGAAAACGGGCTTTTTCCCTCCTTCCGGAGGGCCTCTGAGACTGGGGAAGGCGGGTTTTGCCCTCCTGGAGGCCCGAGGAAAGCTTCCAGAGCCTGGGGAGGGCAAAAACCAGTGGTGAAATTCAATTGTTTTACTACTGGCTGTATGGGCGTGGTGTGGCTTGGTGGGCCCGGCTTGGTGGGCGTGGC